TCGTATTACAGGTTCCTTATTCCTTATTATAGGTTTCCTTTTCCAACAACCCAGCTAGCAATTCGTCTAGCTACTTTGACCGATGCTGCATCATCTGTTAGTAGCTTGCTAGCAATCCTGATGTTCGTTTCGCCTACTCATGGCAATATCCTGATTTGGGATTCACATTTATCCCTATTACTTCAATGTTTCCCAGATTACATAAAAATATGACGTTTTTCAATTAGATTTACGAAGCGGGCGCGCTGGTGCGCACAAAAAACCTCTGAATTAAACGCTTTTTTCATTGAACTCAGTCAATTTTTTGTTTAAACTCGCACTTATTCAGAACAGTTCTGGATGTCTGATAATGAATGATTGCAGACAGCTACACTGCCTGAGAAGAAACGGTCACAGAAATTTCTCGGTTCCTCATTGGAGCAGTACCTCTTCCTGCTTCTTCTCTGAACCATTTATTTTAAAAAATGCCAACATTTTTTATAAAACGATTAAAAACGCACAAATAACTTCCTGCGCGAGCGAACAACGCATTGCATGGGGCCGTACGTGACATTTACATTGTTACTTCTTTTTACTTTTTCTAATCGCATTTTTGCTTATCCTTAAATACTGCTTTTGGCAGCCTTATTTTTAAGGTGGCGTTTTTGACAGCAGAGAAGGGTTCAAACCTGAGTTTACTCTTGCCATTATTGACGTCGAACAGTGTGAGGCTGAAAAGTAGCGAGTCGCGGAATTTGGTGCCATAGGTGAGGTCCGAGTCGTAGATGTACGGCACTGCGTATCGCCAGAATTGAACTGTATTGTAGCCAAGAGCATTGATAAATTGCTCGAAGCAAGAATAACTTGATGCGGAATGTTCCAAGCAGTACTCGAGCACCGTAAGCAAGCCCTGTAACAGCAATTGCTTCACTGGAGCATCTCCCTCAACTGCTTTCCTCAGTTTTAAGGTAGCACACTCTAGGAAGTACCGGAAAGTAAGCATGCTTTCGCACGAAACACTGCTAAAATGTGTGTGCAGAAGCGCAAAACGACGCTTGCAGCGATGAAATCGTTCACTCCGAAATCGCGCTCAATCAACCATATTCTAGTAGTGTCAACTTATAATTTACAGAAACAGACAGGAGGATTCGCGAAAAAAGCCATAACTAATTGAGAACCCGACAGATACTGAATAGCGGTTTTGGGTGAAATTACGGCTGTAGATCCCCTCGAGCAATCTTACCCATTTCGGGTCGGAATCGGGAGTTGAAGAGATCAAGCACAGGAATAGGAACAAACAGGCCAGTACTACTGATCACATTTTTTCATGCGTTTTTGCCGTGCAGCGCTAGAGCGCTGCAA